TGGTTTGTATGATACAGCAGTGGCGGCGACTCAGGTACTGTATTTGCTTGGTCCATGTTATGTCCTGCGGTCCTTCAGGAATGTTAGCTTTATGTATATGCATCAATTTCTCCTGGTATGCACTGCGTCTGTCCCTGACAGAGATCCCGACCATCGAGAGGAGGAGACTGGTCGTGGTCTCAGGCATTGCGGCCTTGCATAAGAGCTTAGCCGGACTCATCCACTTGCTTAGATGAACGCTGTGCACTGGGATGCAGCGTGGCTCAGTTGCAGTGTGCCGTGGAATCAGGCTCCCGGCATTGAACTTTGCTCGGTTGGCCTGGGCAGCGGAAAGCATACATGCATAGTAGTCATGTTTAGGGCGTAGGGTATGCAGTGTGGCTTGGCTGCGCATCATGTATCCAAGCTTATAAGAATGCCTACTGACACGCCCTGCGCAAAGAGCTCTTGCTTTGGTTTTCCGGCGCGGAGCCCGCATGCCGTCGTTGGCCCTCAATAGGCCCTCGTGCACATCCCTGAGGCTCGGTGGCCCATCTGCGGTTCTTGACAAGATTCTCTCTCCGCTCTTCAGGATAATCACGGCGTGGATGAAACGAGCTGGGAGGACCTTTTGTGTACCGATACCCTTTGTGAGATAGACCTGGTTGCCGCTCTTGTAGAACGTGCACCCCTCCGCCGCAGCCTCCTTCGGTAGGATCGCGAGTGCAATGTTGCATGTATTTCTCATTCCTGAGATAGGACGATCAGTCGGCAGCCCCTCCGTGAGGTGTATGTCATTTCGCTTGCGGCTCGGACCACCCGCCAACAGTCCACTTTGGACTATCTGGCTGTAGGCATCATCGTATGTGCCGTGATACAGCTCCTGTGGCAGCAGGCGTCTGGGCACTCGCACTTGGAAGGTGGAGTTGTCTATGCCTTCCATTGAGTGGCCCTGTGCCGCTCTGATCCACTTTGCCCCTTCCCGCCGGACCACTTCAAATCTCTTCTTGTCGCTCTCCTCGACCACTTGCAGGATTTCGTGTTCCTGTGCATGTAGCGCCTTAAGCTTGTGCGTGTCCAGAACGGCACGGAGGTCAAAGAGGGCATCTGCTCTCACCTCCAATCCATGCCTTGCTCCAGAGTGTCTCAGGACGTCCGTGAGTGCTTTCGATATGGCCGTCTTTCTTCGTCGCGCCAGCGGTGGTCTAGGCGGTTCCCCCCGCTTGCTCGCGGTTGGGCGTTCGCCCGAGGCGGGCTGTGGCGGATCTTCTCGATGTCGACGGCTGCTTGCTGCCTGAGCGGAGACCGCTGTCAGGTTGCGATTGTGCGCTGGTATGGGCACCGTATCCTGCTCCGTGTCCTCTTCTGGTTCAGAGAGTTCTATGATGTAGTCCATCTCCACCATGTCTTCCGAGCTGGCCTTCTTACGTCTCTTCGGGTGGAAGCGCACTCTGCTACTACTTGATGGCTCTTCTCCAGGTTCGTCTTGATGCGTAGCTTCGTGGAGTGCGGAGTCCGCTGTACTCCTTTTCCTCTTCTGCGCCTTTGCCACCGCGGCCTGTCTGAGGGCAAGTAGTTTGCCTGTGGGCGCAGCGCCCGACTGGCGTAGTCTTGTGGGTAAACGCCGAGATGACTTCTTCTTTGAGCTCGGACTGGGCCCCATGTTGCAGGCAGGCGCATTGGCAGGAGTTAAAACTAGTATTCCCGGTGCTGGTCCCTGGAACCGTGTAGTGATGTGATTAGAGTTCAAGGCGACGCTGTGGGTGTCCTGACCTATCTCAAGTTCAGTCTCTTGCACATAATCTTCAGTGTAATTACGGAGGCCGAGGTCAGGTGTAAGAAGTGGAAGGCGAGGAGCTTGTGCTTCCGTCAGGGCTGGTCTTATGGTGGGGGGGAGGAATGGGCATGAGCCAAAGTGTGCTCCGATTCGATGGCTGAACTCTTGTTCTGCATGTGTGTACGTAAGGATGCAAACCAGCAGCTTCGCAAGGCAATTGAGTGCTCTGCTGGGTGTGGAGACCACGTTCCCAGTGTCGATGGGATCGTTGCGCCGTCTCGTGGATGTGTCAGCCTGGGCAGGTGGAGGTCGTGCGTGCATTCTGATGGGCTGTGGGGTTGTGTATGTTTTAATGGCATACCATATCGTTGCAGTACAATCACATGCACAGCTGTGATCTTTTGTGAACAATCCGATCTTAGAGGCACTCACGCATGCTCTATTGTAATCAGATAATAGTTCTTGTTTATTCACAGCATCGATCTGTTGGCGGTCGGCGCATGCCTTGAGTTTGCTATGAATCGCATAAACTGGGTAACTCTCTTCGCGTTTGAGTGTCCGGCTGGGTGTGGAGTCCACCTTCCCAGTTGCAACGTGCTGCTCGTGTTGCGAGTGGGTGTCCTGCGCAGAATATCGTGCAGCCCGATAAGCACCCGTGTTGCATGCCCTAGCACTCTTGTCTGCCGTGCACATCAGGACTGTACGCTCGCATGCACTCTTATATGCTCGAGTGGGCGGCCGGTTGGAGCACCTTGGCCCATCTCCATCAGATTCCTCACTTTGTACATCCGGCGTGGTCGCAATTTGTCCAGAGGCCTCTCCACTGTCTGCCAATGGCCCGCCTATGTCTTGCAGATTTGCACTATTGTCTTCAGTCTCAGAGGCGCCAGCAAAACCTGCTAAGAACTCGTCGAGGTCTGTTGTTTCCGTGGTGAAAGGGGCGGAGGCCGCATTCCCCTCCGGTCCTGTCACTGGTGTTGTCGGCATCGGCATCTCGTGCCCTGCCGTTGTCCCGATAGTCGCCGTCTCCAATCGCTGCGCCTCAAAGCGTGCGACCAGATCTACACCCCGAGGTTCTCGTAGGAGATCCGAATGCTGCTCCTCTATCTTGTTCACAAGCCTTGATTTCAGGGGGTCCGGGAGCTGGCGTATCTGCTCAAGGAAGAAGCTCGCTCGCGCAAGGTCACTTACTTCCAATGATGGTTCAGGAAGGGCCCGTAGGAGAGATGCTTCTTGATCATTCTGTGCAACGTCAAGGAAGCGAAGCCACGTAGTGTTTACCTTTTTGGTAGAAGCATCATGTTCCACTGGTTGGTGATCTTGGGTGCGGAGTCCGCCTTCCCTTTCACTTTCCTGTGCATTCACCACTTCCATGGGCTCTTCCAGGAAGTGTGCTGTGTCATCTTCGCCCTCCGTGTGAGTAGACTTCGGCACGACAATCGGAACTGCAGCTGTTTGCATGCAGACGCACGGCTGCTCAAGACAGTAAATGCACATCATGCTGGCAGTGGAGTCGCCAGAACCTCCAGATGTCTGCCTTTCGTGGGATTCGCCAGGTAGCCTGCTGTGCAGGGCCTCCTCCAACGACGTGCATCTGCAGGGGCGCCATCCACAGGTCACGCATGGTGTACATGGTGCCTCCGACATTATGAGTCTTGAGAAGCTTCCCTGACCAAGAGTGCTCCGTCTACGAAAGGGCGCGGAGTCCGCAATCCCTGTGAAGTGAGTGCAGAGCCAATGCATTGCGCATGTTAAATGAACAGAACAGTCACGTCTTGCCGTGTGGTCTTCAGTTTGCAACTCGGTATGTTCGCAGCCATGATCCGCCTTCTTCGACCGCGAGATGCCGCTCGTTAGGCAGTTGGCCGTGGCCCTGACCTCAGTGTGTCGAGTGATGGAATTGAATCTAGGCCACATCAAGACAGTGAATAACATGTCAGCATGTGAGCTAGTCAGGGGCTTCCATCTGCGTAGCCCTTCCTGAATGGTCTGTATTACCATTTGTGACCAGCTGGATGACCCACTGTGCCTGACCTGTTTGGGAGTGGAAACCACTCGCCCTCGTGAGTGAAAAGCAGGAGCGAAAGCAGCTGGTGCCTGGGTGCTGCACCGTGTCAGCTCCTTTGGCGCAGGCCCTGTCATACTTGCGTGTTCAAGTCTGACTGAGGACTTTGCAGTTGCTGGCCTTGGAGCAACTGTCTGAAAGGAAGTTACTGCCATCAAGGTTGCAATTCGGGCAAGCGGATTCTGTTCTCTAGCAGTGCTCGTTAGATTACCAGTGCCAAGCATGCAGCTCAATGTGTGCTCCCGCCTGTATGATCTGGCCTTCCACGTGCTCACGCGCTGGGGCCAGGAAACTCCCGGTAATGCATATGCAGCGAAGCTGTTGCTGCAATGCCACATCAATTCTCGAGGACTGGATTGGTGACAGTAAATTTCTCTTGCTGCATCAACCGCCTGCGAGCAATTTTGCAGCATGATGTTTGACAGTTGCCTGAGTGTCTGACAAGCGTTGCGCTGGCTACTACGGTCCTCAGTTACAGCTGGTGAAGTCACATCTCGACGTCGTTGGATTTCTGCCTGTTCAGATGTCTCTTGCATTACCACTATGTATTGGCTGTCCTTGGTGAGCACTCTAGTCAGACTGTGTGCACAAGCAGCGAGCCTACGCTTCAACGCGGGCAGCTCCCCATCTGGTTCATGTCTGCCTGGGTCCCGGTAGACGTCGACCGGCCTGAGCGGTCTGTGAGTCTCCGCCGATCCTGAAGGCAGATTGTCGGTTGCTGCATTCAATGAGCTTGTGTGGTTGTCTTGCCGTCCTGAGCACTCAACTGAACCTGACAGAAGCACACTGACCAGACGTTCCCATGACTGCAATGGAGGGGGAAGCGGAGCCCGCTGTTCCTCATACGCGTAGGGTGCAGAATGTGGCGGCTGTGTATAACGAAGACCTTCTGGCGTTCTCCACAAGGGGCATCTAGTGGTGTTGATGGGGTCCGTTGCGACCTCGTAAAGCTGAGGCTGGGCCCTCTGCTCATCAGTAGAAGACCTTGCATCTCTCGATCCTTCAACAGACATGCAACGTCGCACTGCACCACTGCATGAAATCCACATGAAAATCTGCAAAGCCATCCAGAGCATGCCAGCATGTATGAAAGAAACCATGGCTCAGTATCTGCTAGAAACGTCGATGGGCCACGGTTGAAAGAAGAACCTGTTGGGGGCCTCGAGTCACGTTCACCCCCTAAGACGAGCACACGAAAACGACTTGAGCCGGGGGCTTACTTGGCCCGTCTGCAATGTTGCTGGAGGTGGGCACCCTCAAGAAGCAAGCATTGATGTTGAGACGTTCCTCCTCTTCCACGGCCTGAAACACTATGGCTGCACCCTCTTCTTTCCGTGTGAAGCTGCGGGCTAGGGACGCTCTAGCGGCATCGTTATCGATGAAAACGAGGAGGTCACTGTTTCGGAGGGAACGTCCCCACAGCTGCAGCGATATGAAGTATGGCAACAATTCGCACTCGAAAACTAGCTGCTTTTTGCCGACGCGGCGTGCCCATTCTTTCGCCGCGGCGGGGTCCAGGGTGTCTCCCCAGGATAAAGGCACGCCATCCAGCCATAGGACACCCCCAAAGCCACACGTGGGAAACGAGTTTGGCTCATCCCACTCGCATGCCCCGTCCAGCCAAAGGTGGAACGTTCTGGACGGTTGGATTGAGAACGACCGAGGACGCCCGTCCAGGACGCGCTGCTCGATAAAGTCCAGAGCTGCTCGCTGGACGTCAGTCAGAGGATGCGAGGCTTCGGATGCCGGGGAAACGTCCCCGACAGCCACCACTGCCTGTTTGGCGTTACGCCCCCATACGTGTTGTTCCGCGAACACTAGGCGCCCGCGCAGACGTTGCGCTTCTTCGAACGTAAGTGAACCCTTCTGTTTAATCTCCGCTACTGTGTCCTTAAGCTCAGCTACGCGCTGAGGCGTGTTGCTGACCTGTACCACGCCCACGGACTGGTGGGACAGGTCCACTCGGACGCCGAGAACATCGAAAACCTCGGAGAAGGGGCGATTCTTCTTCTCCTCCGTGGCTACGCGCCAGCCCAGTTTCTTGAACATTGAGGAGACAACGACCTCAACGTGGGCCGCGTTTGCTGCAGACGTCAGAACCGTAAAGTCGTCGAAAAAGGAGGTCATAGCTATGAAAAACTTTTTCCTTGCTATGGCTTTTAACGCTTCGCTGCAGCGCAGGAAAGCATGCACGGCTGCAACTGCCCCAAAGGGCAGGCTGTGCAGGCGGCAGTATTGGACAACGTCAGCCTGAGGGTCCATGACGCAGATGATGGCGAAATGCTTGTGGTCTGCTCGCACGGCGAGCTGCTTATAAGCGCTCTTGAGATCCCAGGTACGACCGAGGATGCGCTCAGGGGGGCTCCCCGGCAGACGAAAACGAAGCCAGGACAGGCAGGCCTCGACTATCTCGTCGATCCCGTCCATCTGAACCTTCTCCTGCACGCCACAGGCTGAGTTGACCAGGCTGGCTTTAAAGTTATCGATTGGCCTCACTTTTTTTTTCTGGAAGACTCCAAACCTGGGGGAGACCACCGCCAGAGCGGAAAGGTCTTCACGGCTGCAGAACGACAGCCATCCACTGGCCTGTTCTTCACGGGTCACGGCCCACACTGCACGCTCGGTTGCTCGGTCACGGTACCGGCAGAGGCCTTTGACGCAGCGTTGAGAAATTTCTCCGGACATACATTGGAGACCGGAGGCCGTAAGTTCGGGGGGCCGAACGTCGGCATCCCACAAACCCGAAACGGGGAGCCAATTCACGAGGGGAAAGCCTACCCTAACCGACTCCGCGACTTCCGGGTCGACGTGACCCACTTCGCGCAACAACAGTTCCAGAGCCACAGACATCTTGCTGGAGGTGACGTGGTTGACTTCGGGGTCGAGACCTTCACGGAGGGCCGTCTCCCGGTCACGGAACTCTTACAAACTCGCTCGAAGGAGGTCACGGGACGCCTCCGTACGCGACTTTGCAATCTTGATAGTGTCCTCGGCGGCATCGGCCGCGAGAGCCACGAGCATCTCGGGAGGGAGAACACAGCGCGCCCTACGCGGGCTGGGTAGCTCTAAGGCCTGTCTGCACCAGGTTTCCGGCGAGCAAGGGATGGCGACCGACGCGGTCGCACCCTCGCGGTCGATCTCCAGGAGTTTGGACCCTTTAGGCCAGTGGTCCCAGTTGCGCGGAACCTTGCATGGCGGGAAAAAGCCGAAGAAGCGTGCGGCGTCGTCGCCCTTCAGGATAACCTTAACCGTAAAGTCCGGCTCGCACAGCGCCTTGAATGCGCGCTTCCGCCCCACGGGGGCTTTTTCCAGGACGTCCTTGACAGCCGCCCCGGCGCAGGACGCCCACGCCTTGGCCAGCTGGGGCGTGTAGGCACTCTCAAGAGAGGTCGACCAAACACGCTCTCCTTGGTGCGTGACCTGACCCCATGACTCGTGGGCATGGTCCCCAGAGCACAGCACGGCTGTCCGGCGAAACCAGGAGCGGTTCGACACCAACGTGGTGCTCTTCCGCGGGGTACTGCCAAACATGCACGCATGCAGTGTGACAACGTGAGAACTGGCCACGAGCCCACTCAAACCAGGGAAAAGCCAAATCAGGCCTATTAGTGGGACTTTCAATACTCCAGCAGACCCCTTTTTCGGACAAGTGTCTGCACCAGGAGGACATCAGCTCTACGAGGCTGTTTGCGGCCCGAACGCGTGCCCTGTCACGAAAGTCCTTCAGGGAGGGCAGCCCCTTTACGAAATGTCTATTCCTCAGCGGCTTTGGTCCGCCCGGATGGCGAATTTCCCTGGCTCGACTGAACGTTCCGCACGGCGGGGCCCAGTGAACCCACACTAGGCCTGGCCGGTCCAGGACATCTTTGAGAAGGGAACGCCCTTCTTTCCTGGAGAGGTCCAATTGCAGGACCTTCACACCTTGAGCCTTGCAAACTTTGTCAATGCTCACGGTGTGGAAGCCTAAATCCTTGGCGGCTTTACTCAAACGTCCCAAGCCGCAGAAGACTTCCACAAACAAAGGGACGCCCCTATCGCTGTTGCCGGGCTGGCAGTCCACAGGCGAGGACGATGACCCCACAAGTGGAGGCGGAGCGTCCTCACAACGGGCACGGCCCGTAACATCATCGCAACGCGGCCCTCCCTTTCCAGGAGAGGAAAGGAAGGAGGAAGCGGGCGGCTGACCCGGGCCTGACGAGGCCTCGCGCATTTGGACTACCGGCTGGGAGCTTCTTGTTTGCCGGGCAGTTCCCTGCCGCGTGGTCCTTGGACCCGCAGGACATGCAAACGTGCAGTCCGCGGTCACACTCAGGGGGATTCCCGGACGCCGGGAGGTCACAGCCCTCCTCCAGGTTGAATCCATAGCAGTAACGTCTGCCTTAATCGTCATGCGGCTGAAAGGGGCGCAGTTCCTTAGGCATCGGGGGCTTCTTCTCGGTCGGGAGGGTAGGCGCGGAAGGCTTCCCTTTCCCCCTCCCCCTGCCCCGGCCTTTGGGGGTGCGACTCCTGCCAGATCCTTTAGGGTCACGGCCCTTCCCTCCTTTGCCAGCGCCTCTGCCCTTCGTCCACTCGCGGCCCCGACCATCTGCTTGTGGCAGGGGGAAGAGGCTAAACGTGACGCACGTATCGTTCTGCTTGGCTGCAATTAAGGCGTCCAAAGGAGCCACGCCTGCTGCGTTGGGCTTGCACCCGTCACGACACTCTCGGGACAACAGCGTCCAGAGCTCTTTGTCGGCCTTGATAATTGCGCCTACACCGGGCTTGGCGTAGCCAGGCGGGGCGGCCCGGCTCGCCAGGAAAAAGTAGTTACGCACGAGACGCTCGTGCACGTTGAAGGAGACCAGACCGACGCGGTCTAGGGCCACACCTCTCCTGGTGAAAGCCTGCTGCAGCTTGAAGTCGGTTGCCACGTCCGCATTGAACACGTTGTCCTTCTTCTTCAGGGTAAGCTCGCCATTCTCGATGGCAAAGAACTCCTTGTCTCGCCGCACGGCGGCGACCTCCGCGTCGCGACTCACGCACGCGGACGGCGGAATGTAACGCACGAGGCCGTCGTGCAACATAGCCGCCGCGCGGTCTACGAGACCGTTGGAAGGCTCCAAGTCACCTTCCAGGAGGACCCCAGTGAGGCGAGCAACTTGCTCTTTCCTCTTGTGTTCTCTCTCGTGGCTGGGCAAGTACTTCTTGCTGGATGCCTCGGGGTCGCCCCGATCCTTCAAATCCTGCAGGCTAAAGGCCAAGCCTTCAAAGGCGAGACGTCGCAAAGCTCCCGCGTGGCCCAACGTGGGCCCGGGCGCCGGAAATATATTTTTCGCCAGATCTTCCAGCTTGCTATCGTCAATATGGTTGGGCTGATCGGCCACAGAGAACGCAAGGGCGGCAAAGGACTCCACGTTCTCCTTTACCAGATTTTTGAAAGGGTCGCTCCCGAGCAAGCTTGCTGTCAACGAGGGAAACCATGGCCTGACAGGGGAAGGGGACACGCACAAGACTTCAAAGGGGGAGAGGAGGGTCCCGGGACTAGGTCAAAAAGCCTCCTTTTTCCTCTAGTCTTGCAAGCTTGAGTGGGTCCAGCACTGCTTGCAATGGGGACGACCCTCCTCGAGTTCAACAACGTCGCTGGTAACGTACCTGTCAGACAACGTACGCCCACAAAGAAGACGATTCCGCATCTCGACCCCTTGAACGTGGAGGCAGCCACTGACAGCGTGCATAAAGGACTGGCACCACGGTGGCAGAGCTGCCACTGCCTCTCGGCGAGCACGGTTCCCGGGCAAAGGGGGGTCTGTCGGCATGTCCTCCTCGCTGAGTCGGTCCGACTCGCTATCTGTGGTATCAGTCATGTGCTCGGGCGCGGGCGCCGGCTGCTCGGCCGACGCAGCTGCTGAGACCTCGTTGTCCAGGTCGGGAGGAACATTTGAACTCCGACGCAGAGCTCCCTCCGGCACGACTGGATCTGGTTTGTTGAAGGCCAAAACACGCTGCCTAGTCCTGATTTGACTCCCACGCGGGTTGTCAGGAACGAAGTCGCCATCACGGATGGCAAGGAGGACTTCCTCGAAAATGCGCGCAGCTGGCGCGAGAACGTCTCGGCTGTAGGTCTCCGTGCTACGCGCACTATCATGCACATGGTGTGCTAACAAGCGCCGCGTGTCCAGGGCGACACCGGCCGACGCGGCCCACGTCAGGCCCGTGGCTTTCAGGCTGTGGCTGGAGAGACGGGAAGAGTCCGGGGAGACCTCTGCCAGGATGCCTCGCAGCCACTTGGTGATCTGCTGCGAGGACATGGCGTTTCCGGTAGGGACGCCATCTTCCCCGAAGTGCGGGATCAGAGAACCCTTATCGATAGCTCCTTTGACCGAAAGGCCGAGGGAGACACGCGCCTCCAGCCACTGTGGGATCCACGGAGTCTCCAGGTAAACGCACGGCGCCAGAAGTGGTAACAACAGGCGTGCTCTGGCCCCCATGGCCGTCTTGCTTTTGGAGACGGAGCCCTCTATCCACACGGTGGACTCGTCTGGGTCGGAAAAGTCGACCTCAAGAGTTACCATCCTGGCCGCATCGCTGGCTCTGGCGCAGCTGAACATCATAAACAATAGCGCACCCGCAATGACGCAGTCGGGCGCATTGTCAGCGAAGGCCGCGGCACCCTCGAGGAACTTGACTTCTTCCACAGCCAGAGCAGGCGCCCGGCGGGGCGGAGGGGCCTTGGCCTCGAAGCCTTTGCAAAGGCCCACGACGCGAGGGCTCGAGGTCATGTAGTCCTCGACTTTCAGACCGAGGACGCCTCGACACCAGTTGACGCACTGAGTGAACCCGCCGGGTTTCGACCACGGCGCCTCGGAACGGTCCAAGTGGGTGAGGTACATCCAGGAGACTCTCTCCGTCACTGGGAAGGGCGAAGCTTGAACGGAGTCGGCCCACGTCACGAAATGGTTAAGGGAAGAAAGTCTGCGGACTATTGTTCCGGTGGCCTTGTGCGCACAGGCGCTGGCTATGCTGTACGACAGCTCGTCCAAGTCCAGCGTGCCATTTGCGTCTGCACGGCAGAGCGCGACAATACCAAAGGCATCTGGCCATCCTTCCACGATGGCCTGGAGCTGGAACAGCGCTGCTCCACGTCGGTCATCTTCGTGCCAAGGCTTGGCGGAGACCTTCACTGCCACTGACAGCACCGACGAGCCGTCGACGCGCGGCTTCTTGGTCTCTACGGGGACCACGCTCCTTTCCGGCACGCGGACTCTTGTGGGGCGCTCAAAATTGAGTGAGAGGGGAAGCTCCAAACACGACTGGAAACTGACCTCCCAAGGGAGCTGTACAGACTGACTGGGCAGCCTGGCCCAGGCTCTATCGGCTCGATCGGAAAACATCTGGATGCTGCGAGCCATTCCAACACACTGGGCACAACACGCAGCCCTCGCTCCCAAAGAAAATGCACTTCGCAAGACCACCCCGGCCTGGAGCAGATACGGAGCGGATGATCGAGCGCACTTGAAACTTAACAGCTGCTCATGCGTACGCATGCACAAGGAGACTTCCTCCAGTGCTCCGGTAACGGCCGGACGGCAGGGGGATGCTACCAGCAATCCCGGGGCGGCCACTCTGGCCATTTACAAACCGGACCGGTACTTACCGGCGGGGGCATGACATCCCAACGCGGGGGCCCACAACGCTAAAACTCACACGGCAGCAACTACAGCCCCTTGACCCAAGGAGCTGTCTTTTTCACTGCGCACACTCAGTTGGTCTGGAATTTTGCAGCGGCACGGCCGCCATTCTAGACCACCAACGCAAAAACTCCAAAACCACCCCCTACACTCCAGGGGACGCACCAAGGCCGTACGACGCCGGACCTAGCTGCGGTCGAAACCGACAAACCCTGGTACGACCGGGTAAAGGCGAACGCATTCAGCGCGTACGACGCGCGTTGCAGCAGTCCCTGCAGTAAATGACTCTGCAGCTGGGGCAGTACCAGTGCTTCTGGACCCTGCCCCCTCGGCGTACGACGCCGTCCCACTGCCACCTGCAGACGCTGCAGGTGAAGGCGTGGATGGAGTCGGGCTCAAGCGGCACTCCGCAGCCGCTATCACACATCATGGCTCTCACCGGGCCATCGGCACCGGACGCACGGCGTCCGGCAAGGTCAGACCCCGACGCGGGTGTGCGGGCACGGCCCTGTGCTCCAGGGGGAGGCGGCACGGCCGGAACCTCTGCCGTCGCTCCCCTGAACAGAGCGGGACGTCGGGCGTCGACAAAGACGCGTGGCTGCTTACGAGCAGGCCGTGCGCGATCGTCGCGCTCATGGCGGGCGGTTTCCCCAGAGTCACGGCCCTCGTGTCCGCCTGGTCGTCAGGGCTGTAGCTCTCGTACGTGTACTCGTACGAAGGGCTGCGCTTGCTGCTACGCGCACGCCGCTTTGAAAGGGCACGGCCCTTAGCTTTGACCGCGGCAGCGGCGGCCTCCTTCCGAACGTCGGAGGGCACCACCTTGGGGTGCAGAAAATGTACGTGCTTGAGCGAAGTGCTCAATAAGCCGTGAGTTCGAGCGGAGTGCTCCGTCAGGGCCGTTACCCTGCTCCTGTAGTAAGCAAAGAGTTTGAGCGGAGTGCTCCGTCAGGGCCGTTACCCATGCCTATGTGGCAAAGTGCCTCTTTGTGAGAGTCGTAACGCTGGAGCGACGTGCTCCTCTAAGCGAAGTAGTCGAGCGAAGTGCTCCCATAGCGACGTGCTAGAGCGAAGTGCTCGTGGGGAAGTCCCAATTCACCTTCCAGAGCGACGTGCTGTTACGTTGAGCGATGTGCTCCCTAGGGCCGTTACCCTACTTTGTCTGGCGATGTGCCTGACCTTTCTGGGACGACGTTGTCCGTGTACGTTTACCGCTCAGTAGCGTCTTCAGCTTGTAGTGTAGCACTGCGCCTCTGTCCCAGCACTCTGCCATGGCAGCGAAGGGTAGCATGTCCTTCGATGAAGCCACGTTGGCTTGCTTCCGTGAAGCCGAAGCTTCTCTCGGAGAAGGCGGCGCGGCTTTCGCCACGGATGTGGTGGAGGTGGCCGTTGCCGCTGGGTGGACCCGCGTCGGGGATCCCGGCCGTGCCGGCGTGAATTCGTTTGCGGCGATCCTGCTAGGCTCCCCCCGCGTCGGGGGCTGCCCAGCCACCTGCTGTGCCGGAGAACGTTTCTCCTCCCCAAGCTGGGGTGTCCGAAAACAAAGACACGGCCCCCCAGCCTCCCGCTGCTGCTGCGCCGGACGTTCCCGCGCAGGCGATGATACTGAGCCGGCGGATACCCCGGCCGAGTAAGCAATTGTAAACTGCGGAGTCGGAGAGGATCCACTCCAGGAAGAAACGCAACGGGCACGGCCCGAGGACCTGCCGACGCGATGGCCCCAGGGCGTTCACCCACCCAGGCGACGACTCATCGCCCCTCGCGGATACGACCGCGAGCGTTGGGCCGCGGGTGGGCGGGGTCCCCACGCCTGTGACAACGGTCACACTCGTGGTGGCTGTGACACTTGCGACGGAAGGGTTGTTCCTCCCGGCCGCAAACGTTGCGGCACACCGGGCACGGCCGCTGGCACTCCAAACTGCCATGCAGATTGGGGTACTTCCGAAGCCGGTGCTGATTACGGTAATAGGGCCACGTGCCCATAGACGGCAAGGAGGCAGGCAACGTCCTGTTTTGCGGAAATCTGAGATCTACGAGATCCGGGTGACCACGCCACTCCTCACGGTGCCGGCGAGGGCAAGCTGCTCCATGAGCGAGGGGGGAACGTCCCCGGCCCACGGGGCCTTGGATGCTCTGGAGCAGGCTCGTCTTCGGAGCTGATCACAGTGGCAGGTACGACCTGCGCAGTGGGGGGCACGTCCGCCGGCACGGCCGCCGGCGACTCAGGTACGACCTGCGCAGTGGGGGGCGCGTGCACTGGCACGGCCGCCGGCGACGCAGGCTGTGCTTCCGGTGCCGCAGGGGGGTCATCAGCGGCCCGAGACACGAACACCGGAACGTCCAGGTCGCTGTCAGAGGACTCACTCTGGGAATCGTCCCACAAGGTAGCAAAACAGTGCTGAAAATAGCAAACGTTGCTATTGCTGAGCTCCTCGCGCAAGGCTTGGACAAAAACGTCTTGCTCGACTTCCTTGAGGAAACGAAGGGCAGCACGGGCCTCGTGAATCTGCAGCAAAACGTTCGCCGGTGCAGTACTCACAGCGCCGCGCTCCCAAGGGTAAGGGGCCAAGGCCGAACCACGGCGAGCGTACCGGTAAGGGGTCTCTTGGCTCCCACGACGCATGGGAGCATCACGAGTGATACCTGGAGCAGGTGCTCCGGGGGAAGTATAGACCGGGGCGGACCGGTCGCCTGAACATCTGACGCAGACGCTGGCGCAGACGCTGCGCTCATCTCCTCAACGGCTTGAACCTCCTTCTTAGGCCCCATGGCTCGCAAGGCTAAGGCAACTACGCCACACAGAAAAACCAGGAAGCTACGCTTCGAGCTTCAAGCGACTGCATGGGCGAACGTTTCCCTCGTCTCCCGACTTAACAACTTGTTAGGCAAACGTTGCCCGCATTCGTTTAAGCTAACGATAAAGCACAATCACGCACGCATGAAGGAAGCATAGTAGCAGTAGTAGTAATAATAGTAGTAGTAGTAGTAGTCATAGTAGCAGTAGTAATCATAGCAGCAGCAGCAGTAGGAGTAGTAGCAGTAGTAGTAGTAGTAGTAGTAGTAGTAGTAGTAGTAGTAATAATAATAGTAGTAGTAGTAGTAATAGCAGTAGTAGTCATAAAACTTATAATTGCGGTAGTAGTAATAGTAGTCGTAGTTCGTGGTCGTAGTCGTCGTAGTAGTAGGAGAAGTGGTCTGCAGTAGAAATATTAGAAGTAGTAGTAGCAGCAGCAGAAGTAGTAGACCACCACCAGGACCGCCAACCCGAGCAGCACTGTGCGCGACCACCACCACGGACCACCAATCGTAGTGGTGGTAGAAGTCGTAGTAATGGCAGCAAGTAGAAGTAAAGTTATCGAGCAGTGGAAGAAGTTGAAGCAGTCAGAAAACTCATGAACACCATGGGACCATGGACACCACCATGCACCACCACAACGGCCATGACGGAGCCGCCGCCAAGCACTACCACTTGCATGGGACCACCACCACTGACCACTACCAACGGATAACCACCACGGGAACACCACACTGCGGGACCACACGACACCACTGCACGGAACACCACAGGGACCACTGCCACGGAACTACGAACGATCGAACCACTGCGGAACTGCCAACAGACCACTGCGAACCACGGACCACCACGGAACTGTTCCGTCAGAACAGTTCCCTCTCGCTTGATGGATTCGGTGCACCGCGAAATGCCACGTGGAACGCCTCTGCCTGTGGTTTTTTTTTCAGGCGGACGCCCCTTTACCACATCAGCGGCCCAGTGGGCAGGTCTTGGCAACGGAAGGACATCTACTTTGAGAGCCAAACTGTACAAGCCAGCGAGTGTAAAAGAAGTCGTGACTACAAAGAAGCAACCGCTAGCGCAGAGGCCCTTATTGCAAGACAACTTAACGCAAGGCCAGCGAGGTGAGACCAATGCAAACAAGAACCTACCAGCGCCAATCACTCAGCTGCCCGTCACCCATAGCAATGCGGCGCCACGTCTGGTACAGACAGTAAGCGAAAGTATGGGTAGGCCGTAAGGCAAGGAACCTCCGTCACCTAAACTGCTCAACGCGTCCGTAGAGACAGTCCCCACACAAGCGCCAGGGCCGTAGCAAAAGCATAGCACTCAGGACTCCTTTTTGGGTTGACAAGAAAGTTGCAAGCGCACTGAAAGAAAGGTACGAACGCGCACAAAGGCACAATGCACACAGAATGCCAGAAAGGCCCCCCCCCCCCTGCGAGCGGGGGCAGGCAAGGGGCTGGTGTGGCTACACAATGCTGCCATCGGCGTTATGTGAGTCCGGGCGTCCTCACATAGCTATAAGGGGAGTACCCTATTTGGAGGCTCCTTGTGTTTGCGCCGAAAGTTTTGAGGCTCGACCTCATGGCCATAGGGCGGGCCTGGAGCGCTGCCTGCAAGAGGCCATATTTTTACAGCCCCGCGCAGCGGCCGATTTTTGAGACGGCACAAGAGCCCCAAAGGCTGCTGGCTGGCACTTGGCTCATGTGCTTCCCAGGTACCGGGAGCCTATCGGCTTGGCACGCTTAGCTTGGTGACGTAGCGCCTGGAAGCCTCCGAAGGCTGAAACACTGCTGGGCCTCCCGGGAAAGTTTTAGGCAGCAGTTAGAGAGACCAGGTCGCTTCTGGGCCTTCCAGAGAAGGTTTCAGCAGTTTGCGCAAAGAACAGGCGGCGTTCAACAGCATACCTGCGCTTTTTACAGCTACCGTGCACCGCCCCCTTGCCAGACAACCCAAACCTGCCGGATTGGCGCGAGTTTTTTAATGAGGCAGAACTCACACGGTAGAATGATTACACAGGTTCGCTCACGGTCTCCCCCTGCAGTGCAAGTATCAGGCCGCACGCAGCGCGGAGCTCGGAGCATTTTAAGGCCCCCCAAGGCTGCTTAACGGTCTGCAGCCAACCGCGCGTCAAGTGTGAGAGTCAAGG